AGTTTTCAGAGGAGATGGGTTTTGGTATATAAGATATCAACTCGTATTTGTTTGTTTTATCTTCCACTGTATTGTGGAATTGGATGGTGCAGGGAGGCCAGGATATCATTAGAGAATTGGGATATTTGAAATATCAGTCTTGGATAAAAGCTCATATTCTTCCAAATTCAGATGGGATTCATAACTTTTTCTTTTTCTTTTCTTGATTAGAGCATGAAATATAGTGAATTATTTCTAGGTTGGATGCAATTTACAATTTCCCTTCGAGCTGAGGAAAGATTCTTTGAAGCTGTGGAACTTTCATAAATTATTTTAAGATATTTTGTTTAATGAAAAGTTGGATGTATGGCCCAGCATAGCACAAAAGCAGTAATTTTCGACCTTTAAGTGGAAGCATCTTCAATTAATTCACTTTTATCTTTGACGAATAAAATCACACCCAAACATTCTTGTTTGGTGTCCAGTAGCTTGAAGATATCTGTACAGCTGCTGACTAATACACAAATTAGGATCATTTGCTTCCTTGAGGTTCACTATTGATGTAGGCCACTTTAGGTTTCTTAGATGAATCACCAGAGCTCTAGGATTTGATACTGCAAACTTCTTGACATGGTGTAACTTTAGTATCAGTAATTGAAGAATTTTGTTTAGTTGGGTAAGGAGTACATGGATGAAAAAATTTTAGTTTACTTGGGTTTATTATTCATCAAGAAAGGAGGATTGATGAATTCATTACCTGGAAATCCGTTGCTGATGATTTTGTTACTTTTTGTTTCTATATTTCGGCAGAGGATTCAAAATACCCAAAATTTCTTTTTTTAAGCTTGTTTTTTGTGTAAAAGATCTCGTAATTGTCTTGCCGTTCAATGACATGTACAGGTCCTTAAAGTAATCTTCTCCAAAACCGTTGAACATCAGTAATGTTGTAGCAAACTAATGCATGGCCTTGTGCACCTCGAACCAGAAGGATTATGCTGCCAAGCCCCATCCTTTGTACTTGCAGGACATTCAATTTGATTGCAACTGGGAAGATGTGACACGCCCAATCTCTTTGGATTTCCCTCACAATGGGGTTCTTCTCTGGTGGTCTTCTTATGAGAAGGGGATGTTGGCCTTTCATGTGTGATAAATTGTCTCGAGCAGTTCAAAAGTGCATATGGAGCACCTGTCGTTGTAAAAATCACACCAACTATAGATGGGATAACCATGGATGGCATTCAAGATATTCTCCAAACTCCAGCTCCACCAACCTGTCCACTGTGTAGAGGGAATGTTACTCTGCTGATCGTTATTGATGAGACTTGTGTTTATCCAAACATGAAGAAATGATGGTGTGAAGAAAAACACTGTTCATATATCATCAATTTTTCTGAGCTGTGGAAGCATGGTCAACTAAAACACCCCTACTCCCACCCTTCAAAAATACAACCCTGCACGACAACTTGACCAGGAAAATTTCAGCAGCCCTCACAGATCATAGATGTCTTGAGAACTACACATGCAGAAGTACCCCATGGAGTGGCTTTAGGTGAGTACGTCATCGAACATGGGGATGCAGATGTCAGAGATGAGCATGAAGGTTTTCCTCGGAGCAGGGGTAACTGGTGGGACTCCTGCATATTCTTTAAGGGATTGCATAGGGGTTCAAGAAACTGGCACAGATCAAGAGAAAGTGGAAGAAGCAGGGTCACTGTTCAAATTCTGATGGTTCAAATCTAGGTAATGAGTCCACAAATCTGTAGATATAAGAGAATACAGATTTGTTGAAACCGATGACGAGCTTGCGAGAATAGGTGCTGGTGCAGCAACATCGGACAGGTAAGAGTGATCCCTTATTCTTTTCTTAGAAACTCAGGGGTCTGTATTTTGCAGAGCATGATATTTCCCCTCTTAGAATCTGTGATTTGCTTCTAAGGAGCTTTGCTTTGCTGATATTATCATGACATCTCATTTCTATGATCATTGGCAAACAAGAAACCATAGTAGCCGGTCTATCATCCAGGGGCATCTTTTCAGCTTCACGGCTTAGTTCTGGCACCTTCATAGAGTTCGTCAGTTGACAGTTATATCTGCGCATATTAATGGAGTATGGTATGTAGTGCATCATGCATCCCTTGCTGCAATCTAAGGATTCATCAATGTAATTCTTGTCCTTGTGTTATTCTTCTGTTATGTTAGTCTTATATCATTAAGACAGTTTTTTTGGGAACTAAATATCCAATTAATTGAAGGGGAAATGCATCAAATAAAGAAATAAAAAATAAAAAAGTGTTATTATATATAGTTCTTTATTTTTCTCTTCTTGGATGAAATGGCTAATGATGTTGGTGCCAGCTCTTAAGTTTTGAATGATGGATTACTCGATTGATAAGTCGGAAAGACTAATCTTTTATTTGCAGTGTTACGATGATTTCAGAACGAAGGGTCGCCTAGGCCTAGGTGATGGTACTCTGCCAAAGTCTACTCAACCAGGTGGTTTTACGACAGACCGGTAAAAAACATGTCAACCATGTCAATAGATGTTTGTGGATTAATAAAAATTAATATTATAATTAAGATATTCTATTTTGTTATGATCGATTTGTATCGATCAATATTTTTAGTGTGAATCATCCTTTTTCGGATGGTTCAATTTTTTTTCTTTCTTAATTATGAGTTTGATTTTTTTTTTTTCTTCCCAAAGTCATGGATCGCTTCTCCATTCTTCTCTCAATCGTTCCTCATGCTTTATGCCCACCTCACCCTCCTCCTCATCCTCATTGTTTTTTTTCTTTCAACTTCTTCCCTTCCTTCTACCCCTCTTGTCCTACTTGTTTCTCGTGCTTCATGCTCACCTCCCTCTCCTCTTCCTCATATTTATTGTTTTTCTTTTCTTCTCTTCCTTTTACCCCTCCCTATCTATACTTTTTTATACTAGTATAGATCAAAACCTATAAGTTAATTCAAAAATCGACTTTGATATGATTTGATCATTCAGCCATAAACAAAAAACAAAAAAAAAATGATTTTGTTATATTTTATTAGATCTGTGGACAACATTGATATTATTACCTTTGGGTTGAGATTGATATTATTACCTTTGGATCTCAACTTCTATTTTATTTCTACCTATTTTTCATTCACTGAGGTGGATGTTTAGTTCTTCCTATCTATAAGAATAGCCTCAAAACCCAGCAAATGGAGTTGTGTTTAGTTAGAACTCTATCTATCTATAGGAAATTAAAGGTGCTCACAGAAGTGTCAACACTACACTGTTTGGCTTTGGAGACTCCATTAATGAGAAAAGAGAATTCAAAACAGTCACTGCTAAGCTCCTTGCCTTAGCAATAATCTCAAGTATGAACCACTGGATGCTCTTGAGAGGACAAGAAATAATAAGTGTGGCAATGATCTATATACTAATTGGTATATCCTGGTTGGTCAGAAGTCCTTTTGAGTGGTGATTGTGACTTGAAAGATGATGAAAAGGAAGAAGGTAATGTTCGAATGATCCAAAATTAACACCACTTTCATCATTCATAGATAAAGACCTTTTTATTAAGATTGATTTTATTATGATCTGACAATCTCTCCCATGTGCTTCATGTCATCGCATATTTTTCTTAGCTCGCTCGATGTCAATTGTCATCAACCAGGCTTTCATCATATCCAATATTATTAGATCGACTCTAATATTAAGTTTTGATGGGATAATTGATTTATTAATTTGATTGAGCTTAGATCATCGATAAAAATATTTAAGCTGAAGTTAACAGTAGTACATCCATCAGATCTTTATAAGTTTATTTTAGTCTAATCCTAGACGGGATTTAACTAGGGTGTTATAGGTTTACTAAGATGATTTGATTTACTATGGTGCGATCATAAGGAATGGTAACACAAATAGTAACATTGAAAAGATGGAAGGCTTCTCTCTTTTATAGATACACATTTTTTTTTTTTATCTTAGGAGAAGAGAAATCATAAACACAAATAAAAATCACTGTGAATGAACAAAATCAGAGTCTTAACAACACACATTGTGCTTCATTTATCAGGAGCTTCCTAGAAAAGATTTAAAAGACACAAACAAGTTAAGAAGATCCAAATATCTTGGGGGCAAAAGTTTGACCCTGATTTCAGATCACAAACAGCGTTTCAAGTTGGGCTACAGATTTAGGCTGAGATGTTTTTACTTAGCCAGCACAACAATTATCTTGAAATCAGGATCTTCTTGCCCTCTATATGAGAAAGAATGTGATCGATCACACCAGCAATAACACAGTGGACGGCATGAAAACTTGAAGCTTATTTAAAGATTTCTCTTCTCGCTCTCTTCTTTTGAAAGAGAGAAAGGGAAAGGGGAGAATCTTTAAGATACTTGTGAATGAATGTCATGTTTAGCATTGCATTAACTCGAATGCTTCAACAACTCGATACATCGATCGAACACCCCGCAAGATTCCTATAACATATAAAGTTCGTATAAGGTTCTCGATAATCCCACATGTAAATTAAACATTCATTTACTTCTAATCATTATTGAAAATTATCATAAAAGATCACATATTCATTCTCTCTCTCTCTAGTAGATATTGTACTCTTTATTTTTCTAACCCTCAAAATCTACTTATTAAGGATCAAAAGGATGATCTTTATGTATGTAGTGCAACAAGTTCTTAAGTTGGCCTCGAACCTCCGACGACAACAAGTCTTATCACGCAACAGTTGGGGTTAGCATCCACGAAGATAGATCCTTTGGCTTCGTGCAGATATCTTCTAGAACAAAAAAGGCCTTGTTCTAGATCTGCGTGTGTGGTAAAAGACAATATCGTTCACGATGAAGGCGTAGTACCGATCTCTATCAGAATCTGCATAATTTGGTGCAGCGTTCAGCCTCTTTTTGGCTACCAATTTGGTCCTGCAAATACGAGATGTGTGTTCATACAAAAAGATGATATTATGGGATGAAGAATAGAAAATCCCGAAAACAATCTGATCCAAAGAACCACTCCATACATGTTTATGGAGAACCTAATGTACACATAGCACGATATTCTCATGCTTCTTGATACAAACAGCTTAAACATCAAATTCCACACCATAGCACAAGCCAAGCAAGCAGATAGTACAAGCACCACCAAACCTTTTTGTCTGCTAATGAGAGAACACCAGCTGCGGCGTAGAACCACACCTGAATCCACGAGCATGACATAGGTGTCTCGTGTACCCGTGCGTGTATGTGTGGACGGGTCATGCATCGCGCACCTCAAACACGTTCCGGCACTTGACGACGATGTCGTACATGTGCACGGACGTGAACCTGGAGAAGTCTCTCGGCACCGAGATGAGGTGCACCGACGAGCGCTTGTGGAACTGGACAAGATCCGGGGTGCTGGGGTACAGCTCCCACCCGAGCTCCGCGAGCTTGGTCGCCAGCATCTCATTGGATGTGATCACCTCGTTGGTGGGAAGGTAGACCAGGATCTTCCGCCGCCGACTGCCGATCGAGTCGCCGCCGCCTGGGTTCTCTCGCCGCACGACGCCGTTCTTGAACACCCACACCCCTGACATGTCTTGCTGCTGTACGATCAGAATCGGAGAGGGATGAGGGGGGTGTGGGAAGCGGATGAGGGAGTCGAGGGGAGAGGAGGTGCGGGTTTTATATGCACTGGACAAGGTTAGAGAGAGAGAGAGAGAGAGAATGGCTAAGGTGGGACCCGCCAAGGGGAGATATGGAGGACCGTGTGGGACCGACGGAGCTTTGATGAACAGCTACTTCCCTGGCCACTGGGATCAGCGGTGATTAGAGTCTCTCGGCACACAGTCCACGGGGAACTGCTACTTGCCGGTGTTGTGCAAATTATTGGAGGGGGGGGCCAAATGGACTTGAAAACAGATATCTTTAGATCCTTAGGGTTTTGTACTACATATCCTGAGGAACAAACATGCTTTGTGGTGCAGTGAGTGGGGAGACGTCGGCTTTCTCAAAAGCTGTCACTCAGCTTTTCATGAATGATGTACGTGAGCAGGATAAAATGATGGACCAGTTGCACTGACATGCAGCAGCAGCAGCAGCAGCAGCTTATCACGAGCCACGCAGGTGGAAGAAAGAGAGAGGTCGACCACGCTCGCATTGACCCCCTTCTCCACTCTTGCCATGGCCGGGACTATGTTATGTGAGGCCGCATACCCCCCCCACAGTTTGATCGAATGCAATTTGATCGTTCTGAATGAGATTCTACTAGGGCTTGACTTTTGAGTCACAAAGGAGCTGATCCAGTTGAGGGAGAGAAGCAACAGGTCAAGATGCAGTAGTCCAATCCTTGAGCTGACCACTGACATCACCGGCGAGCGCCATCCCGTACGGAACCATGAGCGAAAATACATGCAGCTTTATGTTTGCCGGAAACAGAGAAAGAGGTATGTATGACACCGAATACTCGGAGAAATCATGAGGCCTCGCACTACTCCCACCGTTGATAACCCTGTTGAATCAACATGCAGAAGCTGAGGGATGCAAAACTCATGCTGAGGACAGCAGAACTGGAGCAGCGACTGCCACTGCCACCACTTGCTTTTTCCTCAAAGGTGGACCGCCACAAATGGTGGTGGAGACGGTTCGGGCCATGTGTGCCAGTCTCCATACGAAGCAGTACACTGATACAGAAAGCAGATATCACTTGTTCTTTCTTCTTTAAGCAGGCAGGATTATTCCAGCAACGATGGCTCCATCAGCTGTGGGGCTGCTGGAGGAGGAGCTATAGATCTATGACCATATCTATTCGTTGGACTGTCGCAAGGAAAGGCCCCATCTTGCACGTGAGCCCAAATGTCTCTTCTTGGTGTTTGGTGTTCTCCGAATCGAGGACCACAGCTTCCGTAGGTGGTGTTTGATCCAAAGTTTTCTTTCATTTGACCGTGAGAGGTTGCAAGTTGCCCTTCTTCCTGAGCTGGGATGATCAGCTCTAGAGCTAGAAAAGTTCTTTGGAAAGGAAGGAGGACAATCTACAAATTCCCTACGAAGAAGGAGGTCCCCAGAAAAGATGTCGAAAGAGGAGGAGGAGGAAAACAAAGGATGATGTGATCATGACGTAGATCCAGTAAGGGCAACAGGGGATTCAAGGAAGTTCTAAATGTAGTAAATAACTAAGAAGATGGATTACATGTCGGCATCTCCCTCAACGAGATTTATTATGTCGGCTGGCGTCTGGATAATGAGACGACATGTATGCATGCGAGCTTCCTCTCTTCCTGGTTCTTCCGCTCCGAACCATGCGGTGTTGGTTCGGCTGGCTTCTCAATCGCGATAGGTAGGATCAAGTGGCTCGTCTCGGAATCTGTGCCCTGGAATCTGCCTGCAGCATTTTATCTTGCAGATGAAGCGTGAGGAGACTGCGACTGTGAGCACGAGTGGTGGTTGTTCTTTAATGGCGCACCACATCCCTCTCCGATGGACCACTTCCTCTGCTCATCATCTTCCTGACACAAATGGCTCTCCTCGCTCCCTCCCTCCCTCCTCCTCCTCCTCCTCCTCCTCCTCTCTCTCTCTCTCTCTCTCTGTGCACGTGAACAATCAGGGTAGAACACTGGATTTGGTCCCACCTGGACACCGTCTTCCACAATGCTCTTCTCCAAAGTCTTCATTTCACTTGAGATCGTCATGTGATTGATTTGCTCTGGTTTTAGGGTTCCACGACGCACCTGTGGAACCCATTGGATCGTGATATTGCGGCCACTAAGCTCCGGCATCCGATTGACTCTTCCATGAATCCACTTTTTGCGGGTCTAGCTCAGTCACCGGCTGCCGTGTCACCGTCGGATAGCCGACTGTGACAAGACCGATTTGGCAGCGTAGCCTTTGGTTCCAACCATCACTGGAATCGATGCCCTGACAACCACACCTCCATCATTTCGAGCTTGGACATTATTGTCTCATGTCACAGCGGAAGCCATTTAGGATGATATCTCAAGTTGTCATCCGAGAGTTGCTTGAATTTGAGATAGCAAAAACAAGAAAGGCTTGTCAATTAAAATCTAAGAAAAAGGAGATTAAACATCTAAAACTCTTGCTGTTTCTCGTAAGAATTCTTCGAAGAATAAATCTCATATATCTCATGTCATAAGCGATAAAATTAATCTAAATTATTAGAATTAGATAGATAAAATAAAAGATAATTTTTTTGATTTTTTTATGAAGGAAAAAACAGTTAGATCATATCTTTGTCAGGGATACGGTCAAAATCAAACTATTCATTTATAAGACCATAAATATATGTTCTTGGATAAGTCTAAAGCATTATATATTAGATTAGAAATACTATTCTTTTTTTTTTACCTTCTTCGTTTCCTTCTTGAAATTCTATAAGAAGTCAACTAATATAAGGATTATGAAATTTGGTAGAAAATAATTTTGCTGAGTATGATATGCAAGATCCAAATATTGCTGAAGATCAATAAGATTAAATAAATGAGAACATGCAAAAAGATGCAAGAGTTTTCTACATGCTATAACAAGCAACAAATGAATCTTTATTTTTCTAAATCATGTGAGCATCAAAATCAAAAGCGTAAAAAATATTAAAAAGTGTGTTACAAGATACAGACAAAATAAAAACTTTAAAGAATGATATTTTTCCATATGAATTTAAATCTCTTATGATGAACAATTCTAAATCTATCACTCATTATTTCTTAAAAATCTCTTTTGTTATGAACTAAATAAGGTCTTACAGTAAAAACTCAAAAGATCAAACAGTAGTAAAATAAGTTTTACGAAATTTATCTTTAAAATATGATGTCTTTTACTGTTATAGAAAAAGCTAAAGATACAAGTACATTATCTATTAATGAATTAACAGATTCATTTTTAGTTTATGAATAAAAATGAATATATCTTTAGATGAAACTTAATAACATACTTTTCAAATAAAGATAGATCAAAAGAATGATAAAAAAATTCAAAAAACTAAATCTCAAGGGAGAGATTAGAATGATAGAGGGGAGAGATTAGAATGATAGAGGTCGGGAATGACTTAGCACCTAGGACAAGGGATAAGTTCGATCAAATAAGAGTCAAGGGAACTTGAATGAACATAACAAAGAAACTTATTAATGCTTTTACTACAAAGCAAATGGACGTATTGAAAAAAATTACTTGTATAAAAAATAAAAATCTAAATGTTCATCTTTGCTCCCATTATAAAAAATATGACTATTTTGAAAAATTATTGGAATAAAAATAAAAATAATCGTATGACAATAGATAAAAGTTTATTTTAAATGCTTAATGGTTCGATCATATTTATAGGATATATGAGAAATAATAGTAAGGTTCAAGTGGAAAAAAAAGGAATAGTTATTGTGAACATTAAATTTGGTATAAAATTTATTGATAATGTGATATGTATTATTGGTTTAAAATAAAATCTCATTATGATGAGAAAAGGATATTATACTACTTTTGATGATGAAAATATTTAATTTATGAAAAAAAACTAAAAAATTGATAACAACTATGAGGATTATAAAAAATAAAATATTGTTTTTATATTTTTCCTTACATGCAATCACTGCTATTATTATTAACGAATCGACATTATAGGATAAAAGATATGCACATTTGAATTATGGTATATTAAAATTATTAAATTAGAAGAATATGATATTTGATTTGCCTAGAATTAAGAATAAAGATACTGTTTATAAATCTTATATTATAAAAAATAATATAAAAATTCTTTTCAGATAGATCATTCTTGGAGAGTTAAGGAACAATTAGAACCTGATATTTGTGGGCCTATGTAGACTATATCATATAATGGAAGTAAATATTTTTTATTATTTATAGATGATTGCATAAGGATGATATGAGTATATTTTCTTAAAAAAAGCTAAAATCTTCTTATTTTCAAAATTTTTAAATCATATGTAAAAAATAAAATAATTATTTTATTAAAATTCTACATACTGATCGAGGGGGTGAATTCACTTTTAAAGATTTTTTTTATATTTTTACAAGAATGCATGCATTTACAAGGAACTAAGTACAAGTTGGACCCCCTAGCAAAATAGAATAGTAGAGCAAAAGAACTGAGTTGTGATCGAGATTACTAGATGTATGCTTAGAGAAAAATCAATACCAAAAGAGTTTTGGGAAAAAGTTGTGAGTACAATAGTATATTTGTTAAACTATTTTCTACCAAAGTAATATAAAGAAAAATATATTATGAAGCATGGTTAGATAGAAAATCACATGTGAGTCACTTATACATATTTGGTTATATTGGTTACTTTCATGTTTCTATAAAAAGAAAAAAGAAAAGTTGATGATAATAGTATTAAATTCATATTTGTAGCGTATTGTAATGAAACAAAAAGTTTTAGACTTTTTAATCATACAATTAAGAAATTGATCATAATAATTTTTTATTAATGAAGAAGAAGGTTGAAACTCTAAAACAATTGAAATTTCAATAGTTGTAGGAGAAGTAAGGCACATGATGCATTGTCTATTATTAATACATTGCCTGAATCTTATATTTTGAATGATTCAAATTCAATTGATTGTAGTGATATTGAAATATTTTTAAAGAAATTTTGTAGTTTCATAGATATA